CTTGTCTTATAATTGAGATATTTTGATTTCACTTCATATCTTATGCTTTTTTATGTTTTTATATTATTCACTCATTAGTATATAACAAATTTATCATTTTATGTTTACGCAATCTTTTGATTTTGAGGCTTATGCCTCAAAACGCCTTGAGGCATACGCCTCGCCTCACGAATGAAAAACGCCTCAATACCCGAATACGCAATTTTAAACATTGGTTTCAAATTGTAAATTTTATTATTGAGTTCATAAGAAATGATATTTTTGCCCTCGGGATAATATATCATCATTATTATGCCGTGCTCAATTATAATGTATGCAATCCATTCGAGAATAGAAATTCTCCAACAACACACTCATTCTACACTCATGTGGCATCTTTTTAGTCTTCAAAATAGTATTAAAAAATTTAAGAAGCCAAGAAATAGTTTTATCTCCTAAGCATTTTCACACCTCTTTTGGAATATCATCAGGTCCGACAGCTTTCCCACACTTCATATTCTTTAAACTTGAATCTATATATTATTCTTTTCACCTTGGCTTAACATAAACCCGACATCTGATAAATGAGATGTAAACATGACTTATATATATCAGTCACTCTTAACATCTCATAAATTGGATAAATAAAACTATATATATACTTAATATTATCCCACCATAAATCTTATATCTTCTCTTCTACATACCTTGCCTTTCCAATATCATCTTCTCGATAACAAAACTATTTCTCAGTTATCACCATAAATTGAAGGGCATTTTTAATTTTTTTGAATCTACTCAACATGATTATAACTGAGACAAAACGAGTTTCAGCTATTGCAAGTATTTTCAAATTTGAGAAATCATTATACATAAAGAATCTGATGGAGTGATTCATAATGGAATTTCTAATTAAAAGTGCATCTTCTACTATCACTGTGATCCAATAACTTTCATTCTAAGTGATTTTATTTGCCTCAGTATTTTTAGTTGTATAAATATTTTTCAAAGCAAGCTTGATGGTATGCACAACACATGGTGTCCAAAAATGAGAGGATATGTTGCTCCGTAAGTAGGCATACAGTTTTACATACTGGTGCATTATCAATAACGACCTGAATGATATTTGAAGGTTCAACTATTATGATTACTTATTTGATCAAATTAAAAATAAAGAACTTATCTTTATATTGTCCTTTATAGTTTACAGCTTTAATGAATATAGTATAGTTTTATGTTACAACCATGAAGTTGATAAGTGGTCTTCTTTGTAGATCTGAACCAAACTAACTCATTTTTCCTTCCAAACTCTTATAGTTAGTTCAAGTAACTTCTCAATGTTTTTCCTCTCTCTTTGTAATAACTTTGTTCTAATAACACTATATCTTGCAGGAAAAAGTAAATGCATTCTTATAACAAGAATTCCTTACAAGAATTAAAGGCCAACTGAATAAAATATCCTTACTATTTTTTCATCTAGTTGCCCTTTCATTTGTAAATTAGATGTTTTCTCTAAAGAACTATTTTCTTTTTTTATATTCATATCCCCGCATCCTAAATGGTTATTTATTCATAGTAATATCATCTGTTTGAATTGAAGAAGATGATGAAGAATATGAAGCATGGGTACTTGAAAGTATAATCTCTTTAGAAAAATCTCTTCTACTCCTTTGCTTAGTTTCACTTTCTTTTGTAATTCAGCCAATTGTAATGAACTGATTTTTAGGCAAATTTTAATCTTATGACCAACAATCTTCAACAAATAAGTTTTTTTTTTTTTATTTTTTTTCAATAAATGAGCTTTTTTTTAATTAAATATATTTAATTTAAACGTCAAATGAGCTTTAGCTCTATATTATGATCCTTTATAGGTTACATTACAATAATTACATTTAAATGTAACATTACCACCCACTTCAGAAGTTTTTCTAAAATTTGTCACTTGATCTCATAAAAATTTGTTATCTTCAATGTTGGGCTCTGATGAACCATTACCCCCGTCCCAATTTCACCATCATTGGAGCTCATTATCCTAAGAAAGAATCGAAGATCGACACAAATTGTAGGTTTAAATGTTATAACTCCAAATACAATGCTCAAATATTAGATAATTAATAGCTTCAACAAAGAGTTAAACTAGATTTTTAACAATAATAACATAAGCAAATATCATGAATCACAAAAAGAACTCATTGGCAATGAGCTTTGAACTTAAACAAGAACTGGTTGTTTTCAATAGAACTCCTCACTCTACCCGTTTAATTGTCATTATCAATACGAAAACATATACTAAATAGCATAATCATTAAGAACAAAAGAATTTGCATAGTGACTAACCTCATAAAAAATCACACAAGATTAATTCAAATGCCCTGATATCATCAATACAATTATGGTTTAATGATCCACAGAAAAACCAAAAGTGTGATAGAACATGATTTCATAGAATGTCCAAAAACAACATTTTGACGGCATGAAAAGTAAACAAAAATTACCAGATCAAAGAATTTCTATGCCAAAAATAGAAATCCCAATAGAAAGCACAAAGCCTAAAATAACTAATTGCCTTCGAATACATAGAATGTGGTCAAAGAGCAAATAAATATATTTTCAGAGAATTAAATCACAAGCTACCAAAATAAACCCTCAAAATTACAAAATATATTTTCAAAAAATCTGATCACAAGCTACCAAAATAAACCCTCAAAAGCATCAGAATACCTTTTGAGTTAAAGTTGCTTACTATAACCCTGAACTGTAACCCTTACAAGAAAGATAATGAACCGTAACCCTCTTGTTCGATAATTGCAAGAAAGATAAACCCTCACAATGCACGAAATGAAGAAGATGACATCCGTATGTCCTCGTCTTACCGAGGAAATGAAGAAGACGAAGAAAATAAACCTTCAATCGCTCGTTTGCCTCGTCTGTCTTTGAAAATAAACTCCTTCGACAAAGACACAAGCTCCTTCAGGCTCGCCTGCTCACATATGCATGCTCCTTCCATCACTTCTGCTCACGTATTGCTCCTTCAATGGGGATGAAGAAGAAGACGAAGATGCACGCTCCTTCGGCCTTCCTTGCTCTTGTATCACTCTCCTTCGGCATCGCTTGCTCACGTAAACAAAAATACAGAAAACCAAACCTCACTCCCCTACTCGTGGAAATCAAATAGTGATAGGGCTAGCTCATTTATTTAATTAATTTTTTCATTAATTAATAAGACACGCATGTCAAACATGCATGTCCCTTTCAATTTAATATTATTTTAATATGACACATTTTTGCCATGTTTGAGCCGCATCGGGCGCATGTCCATATCTGACATGTGTTCGATATAGCATACATTCATAAATAGGTGTATCGGTGCATCATAGCAAAGAATCAAAGATCAAAATAAGATTGATTTTGTAGCAGCATATTTCATGTATTTTATATAATTTAAGATTTGATTAGTGACATCAAAAATAAAAATGAATAAATTACACAAACATTTTGTGATCTAGATAGTGGTGAAAGTCTTGTAATTTGTAGAATTTGGACGACACCAAGGTCGAAGAAAATGATTGGCTTTGTACCAAAATAATTAGTGCTTCTACAATAGTTTAAGAAGTGTTCAATTTTGATTGAATCCAAAATAAGGAATATATGGTTCCTGAGGAAATGGTAAAAAAATTTGAACTTACAGGCAAAAAATACTCAGAGCCACGTAAAATTCTTGAGTCAAAATGAGTAGTCAAGTTCATATTAATGAAAGGTGCTCAGTTAAGTTTTCTATTAGTAAGTATAATGATCAAATTGATGTGGCATTTTGCATATGAATCCATTCAATATTTTTTAAGATTAGCCAAGGAAAAATGACAGTAATGCACGTCATAATGGTATGGAGAACATTTATTCCCGTGTGCTTAATGGAATCAAATATATTTTGGCACCACTAAATAAGTTTCACCAATGAAACATAACAAGAAAATTTGCCTTTTCATATTAAAATGATTTGAAAAGATGTATAAAAAGGACTTTTGTTCTTATGCTCTTGTTGATTTCAGCTACCTAATGAAGAAGAAAAGATAAGGATGGAAATAAGAAAATAAGAAGACCACCAAACCACTACGGAGTAAAGGTGAACCCCCTGAGGAAAACAAATAAATGTTATCTCATATACTACAACTGCAGAAATTGAGGTCAAATACGATGAAAATACTCAAATTTGAAGAAAGAAAATCAGGAATGGATGAAATACATTAAAAGACAATGAAGGCCAAATATGATGAAAATACCTAAATTTGAAGACAGAAAATTGGCATTGCATAAAGGCATTAAAAGACAATGAAAGACAATCAGGGCGACTCAGATGAAATCTATTCGACTAATTTTGAGAAGGTAAAAAAAAATCTTAGATTCATGATGGAAGAGGATGAGATCTTGGAAGAAACCCAAGAAAAAGGGATATATATATATATATATATATAGGCATGTCGTATGATGAACTTAAATCTACATTAGAAGCATAGAAATTTTCTAAATCTGAAAAAGAAATATTTGCAATAGAAAAAAAAGAATCTGATGCTAATAAATCATGCTTTAATGGTTTCACATTTCAGGATTCAACCTATAGTCATTTTGTCTCAAAAAAACTTTTTTCAACATTCTATAAAAATATATTCTTTTTCTAAATAACTTTTTGTATCTCTTTATTAAATCGTCAAGTCTACTTATTCATATGAAATTATCTCCATATTTCTTCAAAATTATCTAACAAATTAAAATTATGGAAAATTTATCCCATATCAAGTTAGGTTTCTTTCGAGTTCAAAATTATCGCTGTTAACCTATTTTAAAAGATTAGCAAATTCTCACATTTTAAGCTTAGACATCCCATTTTAGAGCAATTGTTTCTTTATATTATTTTCGTTATATTTCTAAAATATAAATCCCTACCTATTAGTTTGTTTTATGACCAGACTTTCTTTAGTAATCATCATAATGACTCGGCGCAAAACAAGTTTCTTTTATTTCAAGTGCATAAAGTCTGCCTAGAGACTACATATCATACATAATGAACAAGATGCTAACCTCAGCTTTCCCATGTATGCATTACTTCTTTGGGACAAGTCATCAGCATCAATACAGAGCACATACTCACTGCGAGCACCACTCTTGTATCTTTGAGCAGCCATTAGAAACTTCCCTTTATCGGCAAATGCTGCAAGAATAAATTAAATCAGAAAGAAATATAAAACACTAAAATAACATGATGATGCATGCTAATCAAAACTCACAGGTAAAAATGGCTTTAAAAAGAATACTCACTGTTTCAAGAGAGAATGATATATCCTACTTGTCAAAACAAACAAAAGGAATTGGTATATTAGTTTGGAAAATGATAAATTACTTGGTTTGTCAAGACAAACAAAAGGATTTAGAGTTTGGAAAATGATAAATTACTCTGAATGGCCAGTGGATGCTGAACGTGCAATGCAGGCTCAAAGGAAAAGGTAGAAATATGGATAGTGAACATGACCACTACAGACTTCTTATCAAGTTAATCCATAGCATAGATGAACACAATAGAAAATCTAGCAATTAAAATCATGTCTCACAGGTCACATAGAGATCATCCCAACAACAGGGAATTTTACTGCTATACAAGGTAAAAAAACTAGAACTTTCATTGGAAAATTTGCCAAATATCAACTAATTTCTACAAAGAATTTTGTTTTAAGATACTAAAGGATAAATCATTATAGTAATCAGGGCCAGCATAAGAGAAAATTGATATTGCCCATGTATAAGAATAGCCATCAACAAGAGCAGCTACAAGTTCTTCATTTGAATGAATTTTGCATGCGACGCCAATCTTAAAAAGTTATATGCTCGACCTTATGAGAAATACATCCATTTCAAAAAAAAAAATTCAAGGCAGTGACAAGACCCATAAGATCACCTTACCTCATAACCAGCCTGACGTAGAAAATCTTAGGGTCAAGGATTTACTAATGCATACCTGGAGTGAGATGTACAAAGAAAGAAATTCACAAACAACCAAATTCCAAATTTAGCAAATGTAGCACTTTGATGCGAAATCATAAGAAAAATTTATTCATTTCAAACAATAATTAACAATCATAAAAATCTAAAATTCCATAAAAAAACTGAGCGCGAATACAAATTCTACAACAATCAATATTCACACCACACAAAGAAGATCAACATGCATCAAACTTGACAAATTTTCAATAATACACATCAATCACTAAACAAGTTAATAGAAAGAACAATAATTGAAATCTCCAAATAGGAGATCCTACTTCATATCAGTACAAGAAGAAATATCTCAAGGAAATTTCCATCAAGACCTGTAAATCATTTGAAGAATTCACATCCAATAACAAAAAGAATTGAGAGCGATTTGAAAATTTATTGAGACATTAAATTAATATTGCATGCATTAGGGATCCTATTTATAGCCCACGAAATAACCAAAATAATAAATCCCTAAAAATCATTAAAAAATCCAATTAATAACTATAAAATCAAATTCATCACACTTGGATTTCAGCACTTGCACAAATTGATCCAAGTAAAAATAATATTTGATTTTTCAAGAAACACTAAAAAGGTGCAAGCTATAGTGCTAACTGAAGGAACCAAAGATGAAAGGCCGCAATTAAAATTTTTCTCCATATAGTATATTCTTAAGAAAATAGAAATCCTATAAGGAAACTAGGAAAGGCTCTTGTTGCTATAGTCCCAAAAATCAAGTCTTGTGAATAGTGGCTGGTTGGAAAGAGAAGGCGGGAAGTGTCATGGATGCAAAAACATCACATCATCTTTCAACTATAGAAGGAAATTTCTAGCCAAGTAAGATCTCAACTAGATAGGAGCCGCCAAATCTATAATAATATTATAAGTGCTACTAGTGATTCTTCCCATACTGAATCCTAACAATACAAATCTCATTTATAATTATTCCCAAACTAAATTCTAACCCTACATCAATCACTATTAGAATTGGAAATCTTTCATATTCCGCATGAGCCCCACCCAACCGCTCTTTATTCCTTAGCAACCTTTTCTAGTCCCCATAGCATTGTTATTGTATTACCCTTCGTATTCCATTCACGCCCCAAACTCCCATGAGTGCCCAACCCAACATCCTCTGCTTACCCTTCATATTCTCATTCGTACCCAAATCCTCAATCACAATCTATGATTTTTTATTATTCACCTTGACTTTTTGCCTCTTTAGCTATTGTAAATCCTCTCTCTCTTATCATAAATCCTATCACCTCTCGGCACCCTTCTAAGGGCAGATATCTACGCTGCTTCGGTGGCGGTGGAGGCACTGAACTTGAGCAAGAGGTTGGTTACTCTCACTAATGATATCATATGCAACGTGGCATTGGGGAGTAAGTACTCAAAGGAGAAGAGATTTGGAGAGATGTTGAATGAGTTTGGTAAATTGTTGGGGTGCTTTTTAGTGGCAGATTTTGTTCGTTGCTTGGGTTGGATTGATGTGTTGATTAGGTTGAATGTAAGAGTGAGAGCTTCTAAGAAATTGGATGAGATTTTAGAGAAAATTCTTGAGGAGTGTCTTAGCAAAAAGAGATCAAATACGATTGGCGATGACGAGGAGTTGTAGATCTTGTGAATGTGTTGCTATCTGCTAAAGATGAACATGAAGGCAATGATGCTTCCACGCCCCTCCATAAGAAGAATATTAAAGTTGTAATTTTTTTCAATTGCTTGACACTTATAATTTTAGGCTTAAATCAACAGTGATTACACTCATTCAATTAATAACTCGTAAAATAATAATCCCAATAATATCGTGTAGGGCATAAATCTTAAAAATAAACACTAAGAGACTAAATCACAAAAATAATCATGTCATTAAATCATGATAAAAAAAATTATTTTATGTAGGAACTAATATAACAATCTTTATTAACATGTTGATCATTTTATTAACAAGATCTTGATAATTATTAACTTCATGACAACTTTATTAGCATATTTATAACTTTTGTTAATATGGGAAAGATGATTGTTAATTGATTATTTTTTTTACAAAGTTATAAATCCCTTGAATTATCCGTTAAAATATTTTCAATGCATTACAGATCTTAGCATCTTGATATAAATTTGAGAAGGCGACGAGATATCCTTATAAGTATTTATTTTTTTAATTGATAATGGGTGCATAGACGCAACATTCGTCATTTTAGAATGGCCATGGTAGAGCTCATACAATATCCAAAATGGATGCAAAATGTTCAAAGAGAGATTTGAGATGTTATGGGATTTAAAGAGTTTGTTGAACAAGAAGACATTAATAGTTTTACCCTAAAGGCAATGATCAATGAAGCACTAAGATTACATGATCGGGCAGCCTCTTCAACTACTGATTATTCTTCTTGGCTTTTCTTTGTCATTGAGGGCTTTTAGAATTTGGGTGGTAGCTGAAGGGGGAGAAGTTGAAGGCCATGGCATGTTTATATTTATAAATTTACTCCCGCACTGTTTTATATTTCAAGATGAAATTGATGTGAGATTTTTGTTTGGAGCTTTTTTTGTGATAAAGGAAATTCCTAAGAAAAATAAGCATGAACTTTTTGCAATATTTTCCATTTTCCTGTCAAACTAAAGCATTTGTATTCCTATTTATTAAATATTTCCATTTTTAGATTGCCATTGTTTGGATTTTCTCATTTATATACCAATCAGGTGACAAATCATCCCGTTCATGTCATGTAAATGAAAGGTTAATACATTTTTTTTCCTTTTTTTGGTCGTTAAACTTATTACTGCTACATATATTGAACAATGTGAAACTTAATCATATACTATAGGTAATTTGCCATTTCTCTGTTTGAGCATTCCTAATGAAAGGTTAATACATTTTTTTTTTCCCTTTTTTTGGTCGTTAAACTTATTACTGCTACATATATTGAACAATGTGAAATTTAATCATATACTATAGGTAATTTTCCATTTCTCTGTTTGAGCATTCCTAATCAAGTTAAATATTCATTTGGATGGTTTATACCAAAGTCGCTTCATAATTTTGGAATTTAGGAGCTCAGTGCATTTTTAAAATTTGTATTTGTGGACAAGTAGTAAGATCTCTTTCATTAGCTCCTCTTCTCATGGTTCTCATGCATATATAAATATATGGACTGTAGCAGAAATATTGCAAATTGCAGGGAATTTTGTGGAAGACATAATTATCAAGGTGTATGAGGTATTAAAACCATTGTATGATAATGAGGCATTTAAATCATTACAGTCCTCTTCTCTTGGCAAAAAGTTGTAATTTTTTTCATAAATCTTTCAGATATTCTTTCTTTGCTTGAAGATATATGATATATGTAGTTTAAAAAATAGAAATTATTCTATATATATAATATTAATAGCAAAATAAGGGCTAGAGGCTTTTAAGTTCTTTAAATCCTTAAATTTTCTGTAGTAGGATAAAGGCTTGATGATATTGTTGTTTCTTGTTTATATATAACGATATGAAATTTTTATTATTCACCAAATTGGTGAAATAATATAATTACTTCCTTTTTTTTCATTTTATTTCTTAGAAGGTATCATTCAATTTTTTTTTAGTGCCTTTTTCAATCAGCATCCTCAATTGTAACTACTTTAAGGAATGAATGCATATTTATAAAAGAAATATAAAACTATAATATGTATTTCTCTTAGTTTTGTTGCATTGCCTTGCATGTATCGACAATAGGAATTCTTTGGGTTATATATGTAGTATTATCATGTTTCCATCCTATTTAATTAAATTCTTCTATGAAGAAAATATAAAAAAGGTTAAGATTTTACTAGGAACAAATTAAATAGAAATAAATGATAATTTCTTCTACTCCAAAAAAAAAAACAATAGCTCTCTAATCAAAATAATACTCAAGCTCGTGGAATTTTAAAAATGTTTTAATCATGCCAACGCCTCCCTAATAAATTTATTTCGTTTACTAATGTGCTGAAATTTTTTCAATGTAGAATGGATTTATAGAAAAAGAATTCAGCTCTTCTAGCTACATCATATACAATATTCCTCTAAATTGTGCTCTAAGAAATATTAAGAATGAAGGGGTGAGCTTATCTCATTGGTTTTATAGCCTAATTAACAGATTTAAAAGTATTGAATCCTTTAGATCATATACAATCTTCTTCGCCATGGATTAA